ACTTTTCACCCTTTCTTTTTTAGTACCCAGACCAGAAACACAACTCCAAATATCAATACAGGAAACAACAAAGACAAGTTACTTATGTTTAAATTACTAGCCTGTGGGTGCACCAAAAATAACCTGTAGTAATAAATCACCGTAAGGTCTTTGGATTTGATTCCATGGTCCAGTTAAAACTAAGTGGTAGTTCAGGCAGCATCTGAAGCCTTAGAGGAGGGAGGACATCACACAGCACTTGCTAGCAATTCCTACTGGTCGACACATGCAAATACATACACGGACTCTGCAAAATGCTGTGTGTAGCCTGAAATACTTGCACAGAAACAAACCTGCAAATCTTGTAAGGTAAAGCTTCTAAAAAGACCTACCATTTTATATAGGTATAAAAGTATTGCTGACTATAAGAGTATTGTTTGGGCATGCAAGGATGAAAGCAGGAAGGCCAAAGCCCAGTTGGAGTTGCAGCTAGCAAGGGAAGAAACAAGAAGGGTTTCTACAAGTGTCAGCAACAAGAGGAAGATCAAGGAAAGTGTGGGTCCCTTACTGAATGGGGAAGGCAACCGAGTGACAGATGATGCAAAAAAGCCTGAAGTATTTAATGCCTTCTTTACTTCGGTCTTCACAGGCAAGGTCAGCCACTACCACCCCTGGCAGCACAGTTTGGTGACAAGGTGAGTGGTCAAGTAGTGAAAGAACAGGTTAGAGACTATGTAGAAAACCTGAACATGTACGAGTCCCTGGGACCAGATGTAATGTACCCGAGGGTGCTGAGTTGGCTGATGTGATTACAAAGCAGCTAGCCATTATCTTTGAAAACTCATGATGATCAGGAGAGGTCCTGGACAATTGGAAAAGAGCAGATATAGTGCCCATCTTTAAGAAATGGAAGAAGGAGGACCTTGGAAACTACAAATCAGTCAGTCTCACCTCAGTCTGCAGAAAAAAGGCCAGTCATACCCGACCAACCTGATTGCCTTCTGTGATGCGATGACTGCATTTGTGGATGTGGGAAAAGCAGTGGACATGATATACCTCGACTTTAGCAAGGCTTTTCATATGATCTCCCACAACAGTCTCACAAGCAAGTTAAGGAAATGCAGACTGGATAAATAGACTGTAAGGTAGATAAAAAATTGGCTGGATTGTTGAGCTCAAAGGGTAGTATATCAATAGCTCAAAGACTAGTTGGCAGCCAGTATCAAGTGGAGTGCCCAAGGGGTTGGTCCTGGGGCAGGTTTTGTCCAAAATCTTCATCAACAATCTGGAATATGGGATAGGGTGCACCCTCAGCATTGCAGATTACACCAAGCCTGGTGGAGTAGTAGATATGCAGAAAAGGACCTGGGGGTTACAGTGGACAATAAGCAGAATATGAGCCAGCAGTGTGCCCTTGTTGCCAAGAAGGTTAACAGCATGCGGGGCTGCATTTGTAGGAGTGTTGCCAGCAGATCAAGGGAAGTAATTATTCCCCTCTACTCAGCACTGGTGAGGAGTACCGCATCCAGTTTGGGCCCCTCGCTACAGGAAGGATGTCAAGAAATTGGAGAAAGTCCACCAGGAGGCAACCAAAATGGTTAGAGGGCTGGGGAACATGGATTATTAAGGAGAGGCTGAGGGAACTGGGCTTCCTGAGTCTGGAGAAGAGAATGGTGAGGGAGGATTTAATAACAGCCTTCAACTACCTGAAGGGCGGTTTCAAAAGAGGATGGATCTAGACTGTTCTTAGTGGTGGCAGATGACAGAACAAGAAGCCATGGTCTCAAGTTGCAGCAAGGGAAGTTTAGATTAGATATTAGCAAAAACTCTCATAAGGAGGGTAGTAAAGCACTGGAACAGACTACCTGAAGAGGTTGTGCTATCTCCATCCCTGGTGGTTTTTAAGACCCAGCTAGGCAAAGCACTGTCTGGAGTGATCTAATTGAGGATGGTCCTACTTTGAGCAGGGGGTTGGACTAGATGACCTCCTGAGGTCCCTTCCAACCCTAAGTTTCTATGATTCTACTTATATGCTGAGCGTGTGGGAAATGGTGAAAAAAAATATTGGTGCCTACCTTTCAAACATAAGTTCTTGCTTTTTAATAAGCATAATAATGGCAATATTTGAAATGCAACATAGTTAAAAATTACTAGAGGCTGAACTGAATTATTTGGGACAACAGAGGCAGCCAGTGGTCCCGAGGGAGGCAGGTACTGAGTACAGCTGAGCAACATATTTTGCAGTTTCTGTCTTAGCTGCTGACACCCAGAAAGACTTGGTGAATGGTTGGCATTCAGCTTCTAGATTTTCTCAAGAACTATTCAACATTACAACTGCTTTGGGCATTTGCTATTTGTACTAAGGGATAGACCATTTAAGCTACATGGTGCAGGTTCCAAATCCTAACTAGGCAACTCAGAAGACCATGGAAAGCTTTTAAGATACAGCCCCTCCCTGAATGAATACACACACATGCAAGCATGTTCTTCCAAACAAAAGTTTGTTCAGTTGTGCCCATAAGAAACAAATAGAGAGTGAAAATGCCACTCATTCATTTGGTTTATGCGGCTTTTTTTGCAGTGTTCCCTCCAGGTCTAATCTAGAGTGTCCTAGATCTGCAGGTTGGATCAATGCAGGGTTTGGCAACAGGAAGTTGTCTGATGGACCATACTTTACAGCTCCTTTAAGAGGTATTAGAAGTGCAGTGTGCTACTACTCCTGACCACTGCATGTGCCCAAAAGGGAACCTTAGGTCTCATAAGGCTTTGGTGGGGCCAGTATGCTCAGGCGTCAGCTGCTCCCCATCTAGTGCAGTCACATGCAGTCCTGACTTCATGCCTATGCTCTATTTTCCACTCCAGTGCATGTACACACATGTACAAGGAAAGAATGTGCTCCAGTGGAGGTAGTTCTGTCCTACATCACATAGCATAGTTTTCACTAGCTCCTGCAAGAGTTGCACTGTGTACGTGGAAGCGGAACTGGGTTTCTTTTTGTTATAATAATTTAATATTTACTTTACAGTGTTCCCTAAATGCCCCAGTCAAAACACAGGGTACCACAGACACATGCACACACGAAGATGATACCTCAAAGAATAGCGGCATGCAACAAGCTGCGTAGAAGAGCGGGAGTGATACTGATATATACACATTTTCTATACATATAACCACTTGCAACCATTTTTTATTACTATACATAAAGCATCGTTTATCCTTCTGTGTAGCCATCTCAAACTGGCTGAGTTTTTTTGGTTTAAGTTCAAGCAGTGTAATAACTCTGTGTATTTTGAGAACAAAAAAATACATGACAGCTGTGGAACAATCCTTATGATTATTGTCTTCATAATTATAAAGGAGTGCTAATTCCAAGACTGGCTATATAGGTCTATTTCAGTTGTATGCTGCACATTCTAGAGCTGCTCCAGTAAAATGTAACAGATGGTTATGGTACTCATAAAGTAAAATAAAGAAAGAGTGAATGTCCCAACCAGTACAAATCTACAGTGATTTGTAAAAATGTTACTAAAATAACAGCACTGAAGAAACTGCAGAGATTGCTTAGATGCGTCTTTGTTCCCCATTCTGGGATTGTATCCAAGGGAAGATAATTATGTCCAGCTTTAGACCATTCTGGGAAATAACAAGAAAATTGTTAGCTGTACAGTAAATACATTAAATACTTGAGATTCTCAGTTAATATGGTAAAATTGGCCATAGAAATATCAAAAATAAATTAGCTAGATACCAAGGGGATGCACAAGCATTGACTATCATTACAAAACCAAAAATCAGTTTGAAAATCAGTTGAAATGTTAAGACTAGGTGCTGCCCCTCCTTCTCATTTATTCTGTAAACAGTCTGCCTAAAACCAGCGGCACTTCTGGTGTATAATACCACTCAGCAGCAATGGAGATATAGCTGAATGGTTACAATCCAGCCCAGACTCTGCAATCTAGGAAATACTTAAAATGAAGAGAAGCATATAATATATGGGGGAAGAAAAACATGGTTACCTATCTCCTCCTAAGGCTCAGCTTTTTACCATGTGGAAATGCCAGTGCCAGGTTAGCAATGCAAGCCTATAGATACTTCAGAACAGACGCATTAGAAAGGAGCATAATCAAAGTAAAATCAACCTAGATCATAAAAAACAACTCACCTTCTTTCACCATTCTCCTCCATTTCTCTCTTCGGCAATGGATGCTCCCGTAGTCACTGTGCTTATTTGTGCAGGGCTTTCTTCTTTGAGCTGGACTTCGAGCAGCTCTGCACCTCCAGGACTGCTGGGTGGATTTTCTGCTCTAGATTCTGTCACTTCCGTTCCAGCTATTTTGTGTCTGTCAAATTGCTTCCATTTGATTTCTCCCCTGATGTCTTCTGTTCCACTTCTCCCCATCCTGTAGTTCATGTTGGCCTCTCTTTGTTCAGTTCCTTCCTCTCCTACAGGGGCAGGTTCTGCCCTCGCTGCACCACAGCAAGATGCCATTTCTTCGGTCACACAATCCATCTCAGTCACTGCTTCTCCTTCCTTCCTCAGTGATACTTTTGTCATCAGTTTTTCTTCTTTGGGAAATTTTTTTCTTGCTCTTCCATCTTCTTTGGCGACACTTTCTCCTGTCATCACTCTCTGGTCTTCAAAACCTGACTCCTCTATTACATGGCCCTCTTCATGTCTTTCTTCCTCGTTGTGTGCCTCACATCCAGTTAATGCTTCTTCTGCCTCCTCTTTCTCATCAGATGCTGATTTTCCTTCCATCTCCTCACCTCGATGTGTTATTTCATTTCCCTTTACTTTCCCACTGCCTGCGGCTTTCTTTGCCATTGCCTCTTCAGAGGCCAATGCTTCTGACATTCCTTCTCCTCCCATTGTCACTGCCTCAGCCTCCAAATTTTCACTTTCCACTTCTCCTATATTTATTTTGGCTTCTTCTCTTGATTCTTCATCAACAGGTACCTCTTCTTCCAATATAAATGTCATTTCAAGAGCTGCCATTGGTGACATCACCTCTTTATCTGCTTCCTTTGCCATTTCCTCTTTTCCAGCCTTCCCTACTTCCTCTCTCTCAGCTGTCATTTTCTCAGCCTCCAACTCCCCTACACATGCTGCTCCATCTACCATTTCTTCTTCAGGTTTTTGTTTTGCTATAACTTTTTCAGATGCTTCCAATAGGCCCTCCTCACTCTTCCATGCTTCTCCTTCCTTTAAAGTTTCCCTCTCTGTCTCTCTGTCCAACAATAGTTCCTCCCACCGAGGTGCCGATTTGTTGACTGCGGGGTCCTTTTCTAGGTCTTTATTCTGTGTTGCTTCCTTTTCTTGACCTGATTCCTCCCCTCCTTTTGCTGTCCTATCCACTTCAGACACTGTTTCACTCATGGGAAACTTTTCTAATCCTACTGGTTCCTCTGGTTTGGCTGCTTTTTCCAACAGGAGAACTTCTCCTGCTCCCACTGACTCCTCTCTCATAGCTTCACCTCCCAGTAGGGTGGCCTCCTTTGCCTCCAACACTAAGTCTGATCCTCCTTCCACTCTGGGAACCTGCACTGCTTCTACTAATTCATCTGCTACAAATTCTACCTTTCCCACAACCCCCTCTCCTATAGAAGCCACTTCCTTTACAACCTCTCCTTTAGTGTCGACCTGCCTTGCAACCACCTTTACTGCAGCCTCTGCCCTTGCCACAACCTCCCCCCCCTCAAAAGCCACCTCCTCCACAGTTTCTCCTTCAGATACTACCTGCCCTGAAGGAAGTATCGGAGTCTCCTTTACTTCTCCTGCCTTCTCCACAGAGTCCTCTCCCTCAAAGGCTGCCTTCTCCATGGCCTCTCTTTCAGTCTCTCCCACCTGCTCTGCAGTTCCCTTTGCTAGAGACTCCATCTTCTCGCCTTCAAAGTCTGCCTTTTCTGCTACTTTCTCTTCTTCAGATCCCCCCTGCCTTTCAACCGTCTCTACTGCAAATGCTGCCTTGCCCACAACCTTTTGTCCCTCAGGTTCAACATGGCTGGTAGTGGCAGACGCTGCCTTCTTCAGTGCCTCCTCCCCATCTGAAGCTGTCCTCGCCTCAAAATGTCCTCCTCCAGCTTCCACCTGCCCTGCAACCTCTCTTACTGCAGACTCTGCCTTTTCCAGAGTTGCCTCTTCCACAATCTTCTTTTCAGATTCAACCTCCTCTCCTACACACACAGTTTCCACAGCCATGTCTCCCTCAGAAGCTGGCTCCTTTCCTAAGGAATCTCGCTCCTCCACAGCCTCCTCTGCATCAGGTGCTGCCTCCCTCACAGCTTCTTTCCCCGCAAAGTCTGTCATCCCCACAGACTCCACTGCTTCAAACGCTATTTCCTCTATAGACTCCTCCTCAGATGCCTGCTCAGCAGCAGCATCTCCCTCAGACATTGCTTCACCCATTTTTACCACCTCCTCTACTTTCGAGGTAATTTCCCCCACCATTTCCTCTCCCTCAGACACTGCATCTTCCACTTCCTGCTCTCTCTCATTTACATCTTCTTTCTCAACTACATTTCCTTTGGATGCCTCCTCTCCATCAGATACCTGTTTCTTTCCTCTCCCAATCTCTTCTGAGTCTCCTTTCATTATTCCTTCCTCTTCAGATACTGTCTCTTTTGCAGCAGGCCTGCTCTCTACTGCCCCTTCCATCAAACATGCTGTTTCTTTCTTAGACAATGTATCTTCCTCTAGAGCTCGTTCATCTCCTTCTTCATTGGTGCCAGCAGTTCTTTCCTCAGCAATAAACTCTTCCTCCTCAAGTTCTTTTTTCTCCCCCATCATCCACCCATCTTGTACCATTTGTTCTGTCGCTTTCTGTATTTCAACTGTTCTTGTTCCTTCTGCCAAGAAAGCTCCATCTGGCACTATTAAGACATAATCAAAACATTAGCTTTATTGTAATAACTGTGTTAATTTTAAGACTGTTTTTACTAGGTGATTATTAGAGATGCCATCTTTCCAAATCAATGAAGGGATGTTGGCACAGTGATATGGGAGATACTTGCTGTGTTTCTTCCCATGATGCACCTGCTCTTTGACTAAGTTTCGAGTGTTGTCATTCTGGCATCTGGCTGTAGTTAATTCAAACAAAATGAGGCCACATGGCAGTTCTGCAATCTGAGATACTCAGGGTGTTCAGATGAACTAGCCATAGGCCTAACACAAATCAGAAATTGATGCTAAATTACTTGTATATACGAAGTGTGGGGGGGAAAATCACATAGTTTGTAGCATGAATGATTTTAACATAAATTGTGATAATAGTAAAGTAGATTTGTAACTGTGTTATCCTTGTTATTGTATACTATAAAGTTTACTGAAAACTCCATTTTGTGTATTTTTCCTTGACATAAGTTGCTTGCTTGACATAAGTGAATGAACTTTGTATAACCTGTGTGTGTGTGTGTGAGTGTATGTGAAAGGGTGAATGCTGGGAGAATGGCACAGAGGCAGGAAAAGGAAGATTTAACTCTTTATGTAGGCAACAAGGCACCAAATGTGTAAGTTACCAGTCAGGAAACTGATTAATGGATGGCTAAAGAATCCCTTTGTGGCCTAGGGCACAAAGGAGATAACCAGGAGAAGGAATGCAGCACATCCTGCTAGATGGGCAGCAAGCACACTTCAAGGCCAAGATACCAACTTTTATGAACAAACTGACCTCAAGCTGAGATAAGATGATGATGGAGGAGAAACAACTGTAACAACAGAAATTGGTCATGGAAAACACCAAAGTGCTGAACAAAAGATGCCAATCCGTATAAAAGAAACACTCTGAAAATGCTAGGGTAGGACAGCCTCTATCTTGAATGCTGCTTTCTTTGGAGTACAGTGATCAGAGTCTGTTTACCCACTCCAGCTGCTATCTTCATCTTCTCTCAATAGGCCTGGGCTGGCCACATAGGGCTTCTATTGAGCAGCTGCAGCTTCTATTGAGTACCTGAATGGAACAGTTGTTTTGTGTTTGCATAAGTCTGTGCGTAATAATGTGTATAATGATTTGTGTGTGTCTGTATGAGTGGTGTGTCCGAACCTCTATGTCCGATTCATGTAATCAATAAATGCGCCATTTTGCTTTATCCCCCTTTATAAAGTATTGCTCTTGATTTGATATATATTAGATTTAAAGTAACAGTTGTAATTGCTTATACACATTTAGGGCCTACTTCTATCCCCTTAGACGTCAATAAAAAAGCTCACTGAATTTAGCAATACAAAAATCTATCCCTGGGCAAACACAATTTGTTGTTTGTACTAATGCACCTGTGCTTAGTACACAGTGTAAGCTCCTGTCAGATCTTTTGATAATGAGAGAATAAGCAGCAGCATGTTTTCCAAATGCTGTACCCTGACAGTACATAGGGAGTCTCCAGAAGGGTGAAAGGACACACTCTCCCCAGTACCCTGCCCAAACACCTGTCTTCATCTGACTCATTTCCTGGCTTGGTGAACTTCCTAATCTTCCTTTCATCCCTATTAGCAATGACAAAAGGGAAACCATTTGTATACATAATGCTTCCTCTGTCCCGAGGATGTTATGGAACTCACTGGGGTAAAATTTATTGCTTTAAGTAGGCTTGCTCCAGTAAAAGCCATGAGGCAGCTGGAAAGGCTGAGAGGAGGTGGGGAATGATATGGCAGTGATTGAGCAGACTGGAGAAAGGCCATTATGGGAGGAGGGTTCCACTGACCATAGGGAGATCAGAAACAGGTGGGGAAAAAAGAGATAAAGATAAAGAACACAGAGGGTTAAGCATGACAAATAAAAAGCAGCAACTCTCATCTAACCAAATATCATGTGATCACCACATAGCTTAAAAGTCTCAGATTACTTGTTGTTATCCAACAAAATCTCTACCTTCAACCCTCTGCTAATAACCTCCCAGCTAGATGCACCTTGCAGATGGTTTACTTAGTGCTGTTTTCCTGATTTTTAAATATCCCTTGGATCTTAGGTTTTAAGCCGTGTTAAAAAATGTACTTGTCTGTCTTGATTGGTAATCAATAACTGTCATAACTTTTGGAAAAGGAGGTCAAAAGCCAAAAGCTTCACTCCCAAACCTGTTCCCTTCACCCACCTCCCAAATTTGGGAAGTTCAATTGCAAGTCAAAACTCAGCAGCATTTCTAATTAGTTTTAGAAAGTCTATGAGAAGTGCCAGCACAGTGTATATAAAACCTCCCCACCTAATATCCTACTCTGTGTTATATCTTACTCCATGTCAGGCTGGGAAGCAGAAGGACAAGCACACATGAGCCCTCAGCATCCCCCCAACCCCACAGGAGTGGGGAGACTGAGCCAGCAGCACCAGCAAGGTAAGCTGGGCCAGGCAGAGGGAAAGAGGGAGGGGGAACCGGGGCAGCTGTAGGGCATTGGGAAGGGTTTTTTTCCTTCTCCCATCTCTATTTAGTTGCACCAGGTGGGAGCCACGCTCCCAAGCCAGGCAAACAGGCCAGCAAACAGATGCGCTCATTAAAGAGCATGCCCGAGTTTGTGCAGTTCACGTAGGGAAGAGAGCAGCAGGGGCCAGAGATTCCACGCATCAGACTCAGAGGCTTCAGACAGACTCTACAGAGCCCTCAGGTGAGTGTACATAAGAGAAACTTCAATGGGGGTGGTGACTCAGAGCATACCCAGGGACCCTGCCCCGATGCTACCTCCCACCTGGAGCTCCAGTGGGGCCTCCACCAAGATGGAGCCCTTGGGTGGGTTGGTGGCAACTGGACCCCCTGCCTGCAGGGGTTGCTGGTGAGTCCACAAGGGCCAGGAGTAGTGGAGGGGCAGGGGGGTCCCCTCACTTGCCCCACATGTGCCTAGATTGAGGCCCTGGAGGGGCAGGTGAGGGAACTCCAGGCAGAGGTGAGCAGGCTACGGGGGATCAGGGCAATCAAGGAGGAGATTGATGGGTAGTTCCATTCTCTGCAGGTCCACACACCTGGAGGGAAGGCATCACAGGAGAGAGCTGATGAGGCCAGATGGCAGACAGTCATCTCAAGGACTAGATGTTATAAAGCCTGGGCGACTCCCTCAGTTCAGCTGGAAAACAGATTTGAGGCCCTGGAGTCACTGCCAGATAGCATGGTAGTAGAGGCTGCACCTACAGCTACCACCAAGCCAACTGAGAGAGAACCATGCCGCTGGAGAAGACATTGGATCATCATGGTAGGTAACTCTCTCCTGCAAGGAATGGAGGGAGACATCTGCCATCCAGATCCTACAGTACGGGAGGTATGCTGCCTGCCCAGAGCCTGGATTCATGACATCACAATGAGGATTCCAGACCTGACTGGACCCTCCGACTACTATCCCATGGTCCTCATCCATGTGGGAACAAATGATGCAGACCAGAGTAGTCCGGGCAGGGTCATGAGTGACTACTTGGAGCTGGGAAACCGGCTCACAGGTTCAGGAGCACAGGTGGTCTTCTCATCTATTCTACCAGTCAGAGGTCAAGGACAGCACTACAGCAACTGCACTAGAGAAGTAAACTCACAGCTTCAGAGCTGGTGTCACTGCACAGGATTTGGGTTCCTTGATCACGACCTGCACTTCCAGGATACGGTCTTGTTCAGCTGAGACTGACTACATCTCTCTCCATGAGGTAAGAGTCTCTTCTCTTACAGGTTGGCTGATCTCCTTCCCAGGGCTTTAAACTAAGTTTGTTGGGGGATGGGAATGATAATGACTGGGAGAGACCAGGTATGACGAACCATGAGCCATGTGCTGGAGCAGTCCAGGTAAGTAACAAGGGCCCCACTAGGCAACAGAATGGGAGGTTAGCAGGGGCACCTATAGGGGGGCTTAGATACCTCTATACCAATGCTAGGAGCCTGGGGAACAAGCAAGAGAAACTTGTACTCCTTGCAAATGAAGAATTCGACCTGGTTGGGCTAACAGAAACATGGTGGGATCCTACCCATGACTGGGCAGTGGGCAATGAGGGCTACAGGCTGTACAGACAGGACAGAGTGAGAAAAAAGGTGGGGGGGGAGTTGCTCTCTGTGTTAAGGAACAATATACATCTTTCGTAGTCAAACTGGGACGAGAAGGGCAAATTGAGGTATTATGGGTCAGATTACAGAGGGGTCAGGGAGAAAGAGACCTAGTAGTACAGGTCTATTACAGACCACCAGGGGGACGAGTTAGACCTAGAATCTCGAGGCAGCTCTCAGAGGCAGCGCGCTCAAAGGACCTGGTTGTCATGGGGGACTTAAACTTCCCAGACATCTGCTGGGAGAAGCAGGCAGCCAGGTCTGCCCGTTCACATAAGTATTTAACCTCCTTACAGGACCTTCACCTATTGCAGGGGGTATATGTCCCCACCACAGATAATGCCTTGCTAGACTTGGTACTGGCCACAGGGGATGACTTGTTGGGGGATATGCAGGTATAAGGTAACCTAGGGGATAGTGACCACCTATTGATAGAGTTCACTATCTGGCGAAAGGTGGGGGAGATAACTAGTGTAGGGCAGAAGTGCTGGACTTCAGGAAGCCCAACTTTGGTAAACTCAGGAAATTAGTTAGGGAATGACTAACTGGCAATACCCTTGAAGAGACAGGAGTCCAGGAAGGGTGGGTGTTTCTCAAGGGACTAATCCTGCAGGCACAAAAAAAGACTCTCTCAGTCCACATAAAGGGGGGGCAAAAAAGCAAAGAAACCCTCTTGGCTGAGCAGAGAAATCCAGGAGAGCCTGGTGAGGAAAAAAGAGTCCTATAGGCTGTGGAAGCAGGGGGCAATCACCAAGGAGGAGTTCACCTGCTTGGCTTGAGCCTGCAGGGAGGCAGTGAGGAGAGGCAAAGTGGAGATGGAGTTTAGGCTGGCGACAGAAGTCAAGGATAACAAAAAGTCATTTTTTAAGTACATAGGCAGCAGAAAGAAAGTGCAGTATAACTTAGGACCCCTTCAGGATGAAAAGGACAACTAGTAACAGATAGGATGGCTAAAGCAGAGATTCTAAATGAATTCTTTGCATCAGTGTTCCTGGACATGAATACAAATATGCATCCCATTAGGAAATTAGACAAGCCCAGGATAGATACCAACCCACCAGCGGTGCACGCAGACCTAGTAAGGGGGCATCTGGAGAGGATGAATGTATTTAAGTCAACAGGCCCTGGTGATCTTCACCCTAGGGTACTTAGGGGATTAGCTGGAGTCATAGTGGAACTGCTGGCACAACTGTTTGAGCATTCATGGTGCTCAAGACAAGTCCCAGAGGATTGGAAAAGGGCCAATGCGGTCCCAATTTTCAAGAAGGGGAGGAAGGAGGAACCAGGTAACTATAGGCCAGTTAGCCTCACCTCTATTCTTGGCAAGACCTTTGAGAAAATAGTTAAAGATCACATTTGCGGGGGACCAGCAGGTAAAGTAATGCTAAGGGGCAATCAGCATGGGTTCATAGCAGGCAAATTCTGCCTGACCAACCTAGTTTCATTTTACGACCAGGTCACAAAATGCTTGGATGAGGAAAAAGAGGTAGATGTTGTTTAGCTAGACTTTAAAAAGGCCTTTGACACAGTGTCACACTCAATTCTTATAAATAAACTAAAAAACTTCAATGTAGATTATTACACAGTCTGGTGGATGGGAAATTGACTTCTGGGATGCACCCAGAGAGTGGTAGTAGATGGGTTGGTTTCTACCTAGAGAAATGTAGGCAGCAAAGTTCCCCAAGGCTCTGTCCTGGGACCAGTACTATTCAATATTTTCATTAATGACTTGGATGAGGGTGTAGTAAGCACCCTGTCCAAGTTTGCTGATGACACAAAACTATGGGGCAGGGATGTAAACACACTAGAGGGCAGGGAGCAAATCCAGGCAGATTTGGACAGGCTGCGGAGGTGGGCGGAACAGAATAGGATGCAGTTTAACAAGAATAAGTGTCATGCGTTGCACCTGGGGAGGAAGAATCATCAGCACTCCTACAGTCTGGGAGGGATCTAAGCAGCACAGCTGCAGAAAGGGACCTCAGAGTTATAATTGACTCCAAAATGAACGTGAGTCACCAATGTGATGAGGTAATAAGTAAAGCTAACTGCTCTCTTTCTTGCATAAGTAGGTGCATCACAAACAGGTCTAAGGAGGTGATACTTCCCCTCTATGTGGCATCGGTCAGGCCGCAGCTGGAGCACTGCATCCAGTTTTGGTCGCGGCACTTCAGGAGGGATGTGGATAACCTGGAAAGGGTTCAGAGAAGGGCCACCCATCTGTTTAAAGGCCTACAGGAAAAACCCTATGTGGACCAACTAGGAGACCTGAACCTCTTTAGCCTCCACAGGAGGAGGCTGAGAGGTGATCTGTGGCCACCAATAAACTCATGGCGGGGGGTTAGCAGAAAGTGGGGAATATGATGTTTACCAGGGCTACAGTTCAGGTAACTAGTAACAGTGGTAAAAGAGAGAAAATTCAGGCTGGACTCAGGACAAAGTTCTTTACAATGAGGGTCGCCAAAATATGGAATAGGCTTCCAAAGGAGGTGGTGTTGTCCCCTTCCTTGGAAATATTCAAAAGGAGATGGGACAGACACCTGGCTGGGGTCATCTGACCCCAGCACTCTTTCCTGCCCAGGGCAGGGGGTCAGATTTGATGATCTAATAGGTCCCTTCCGACCCTAATAACTATGAACCTATATGCTGCAATAATATAGTAATATCTTTCCTAGTGTACTGCATGGTTGCTAGCAAGGAACAAATCATTCTGGGTTGAATTTTTGTAGATGCATTTACTTTTGTGTATTGTAAATCAGCATTCTCTACTTCATCTAAGGACATGCTTCCCTAATCTTCAAATTCAGTATTTTGTTCTTCATATATAACTGATCCATGGTACAGGAATAGCTAAACCTGGCATCTTCGATGCTTAAAAATTAAACTATATGGAGTCATTGAAAAATAGCATTTAAAAACAGTCAGCTAGTTATGTCATTGCAATGCATTGAAGGTCTTTTCTCACAAATTAGTTTGTATTCTGAATGCATCTAACTGAAAACAGTAACTTCTCTTACCTATCCGAGCAAGCCAGATTTATGGCCCCTGCAATCCACACATTTGTGTGTGCATAAACACATGAGTTAATCAACTCAATGCTTATTACAAAACAGACTACAAGGTACACCGTAGGCAGAGCCGGGTACACAAAACACTCCAGTTTGGGTTTTGTTCCAGTCCGGTCATTAGTTTCACAGCAAGTGTTTCATACTAAAACCTAGGTTCTTTGTAGACCTGTTTTTGTTTGCTTGTTTTGACTTCTTTTCAAGACTATAATACTTCCCCTGAAAGAGGAAACCCTGAGTATCCAATTCTGAACTCAAGCTGGTTTACATCAGTGTCAGTCCATTGCTTTCAAAGGAATTATTCCTAATGGAAGTGATGACTGAGTATGCCCAGGGTGTGTTCTATTTTCTGGTTGAGGCTGCGAGAAACTGCTGGAGTGTATCTTAATGCAGCAGTTTTGCCTTTTTTAAGCCACTTTGATTCTCTGTGGCAAGGTAGCAAAACAGCAACTAATACTATACTGAGTAAGGCACAAAATCCAGGTATGAACATATGCTCTTACAATAGACCTGTGTTACAAACAGTTTTTGTTCTTTAATTGGAGATAATAGGGCTTGATCTTCTTTAACTTCTGTGAAAAAGAAAAGCTCCCTGCAATTCTGCCTGCTATCACCATCATTAATGATTTTTTTTAAAATATAAAAATCGGGCTCTATATTTATAGGTCAATTAAAAGTATATATACTGAGATCCACAAAAAAGAGAAGCTGTGGTCCACATGCCTTTAAAATTTAACAGCCTGAAGCAAAAATTCTAGGAGCTGGAGTGCTGATGGTATCCATCTGTGCCATTATATATGAAATTCACAGAACAATGCAATCAAACCTGACAAATCCTGGAAACTGAAAGCTATATCTACAGGGAACAAAACAATAACAACAACAACAAGCTTTTTTTAATTCAGCAAGATGGAGAACAAGAGAAAAAAAGAGGTAAAAACAAAGATGTGAAGCATTTACTTTATCACAAAATTGTCTAACATTTGTTTGGGTGCTAAAATTGGCAAACATGAAAAATAAGTCACCTAAGCCTATGTGTTTCCCTCCCCCCACCATAAATAAGACCTATCCTGCTAATGCCCAAGAACAATGTACTGTGCCACGAAGCTAGCCAGATGTGTAGGCCAAGATTTTCAGAAGTGATTGTGGGACCTCAGTATCTGAAAGCAAAATCTGAGTCACCTGAAAATCAGGCTCTCTTAGGTTGTCTCAGTCTTGGCACTAATGGCAGCCAAAATTGCTTGTTGTTTCTGAACATGTTGGTCTGGTCCAATAAACACATTAATTAAATTAAATGAAGTAATGGTGAAATGAAATTAAATGAAAAATATGAACTATATTCAACTAGCTCCTAGTGTAAATATTCATTCCACTGCATTGGAGTAGTCTCCTACCATCATTTACTAGGACATTGCAACATCACTACTGTATTCTCTATTTCGTTCTTGGGGAGCAGAGGATTCCAGCTGTTGTCCCAGTTATGTTGGCAATTATATTCTGTGATATTAAGGCATTGTAGGGTAGTAAAGCAGGTTAACAACCTTAAATCAAACTTAATGTATAGCCTTGCTTTTTCCCCATTGTGTAAATTTCAAACTCATCATATCACTGTTTTGGAAAAGAACATTTACATTCCATAGAGTTCATTGCTACAGTAATTCCACTAATGGACTGATTCTAGGACACTCCTATTGCACAGACTTGGGTTCCAATGCTAAAACTCAAGATTAAGATTCAAGATAATCTAAAAGTGCAGAAAATCGAAATGGGAAACTTTTGGAATAGTCCAACCCAAGAAAAGATTTACATTGCTTTGCTAAGTCACTGCCCAAATGCCAATCATGAGGAAGGAAACAAGTCTGAGGTACAAACTTGGGACATGGCTACTTTGCTGAGGCTCAGAACACTAGCCCTCTCCATTGCATTAGCTATGAAGTTAGCCTCTAACTTTTATTTCTTTGAGAAGTGGCACCTCTTCCATTTATAAGTAGAATCATCTTGGCTATGGTTGGATTTAATTTCATAACCAGATGTCATCATGAATGCTAATTTAACAGGTTAGAAGCAAAGTTAAATTTACCAGATTTCTATTACAAGATTCTTCCTCCACTAGCACCCAATCTTCATAGCTTGGACACTTTCAAAATCACTGTAAACCCCAACTGGAAATAGCTTTATAGATAACTTCAGAATCAGATTAAGCAGTGCCATGATTTTAGGCAATAAAAGGTACAGTAAGGCAAGGGGAGGAGGAGAGTATAGTTTGTAGAGAAAGGTTAAAGGAGGAAACATCTACAAATGGGTTTTAAATGAGTGAAATTTAATCCCTACACTGATCGTATTAGTTGACCTCACCTTCATTTATGTCATGAGCTTCACTTGTTAAGGTCTCTTCTTCCTCATCTGTACTGGAATCACTGGTTTCAGGTTCAGAATTCAAGCGATAATCATTTTCAATTGCTTCTGCTATTTTCTCTTGGACAGACTTGCAATCTTCAAAAAATATCACAGAATTACCAAACAGAGAGCAAGTAGGGAAAATCATCAAAAAGCATAAAGGGGAAAGAAATTGTGCAATTATCTCAAACAAGATTAACAAGATCTATAATGTTAGTGCAGGGTTAATTAAAATCCAGTAAGCCATCACCAGTGATAATGCTTTGAATTATATTAAAATCAAATGGCAACTGAATATATATATAAAATGCAAGAGACTCTACAAACATGCAGGCAGAAATCAGGCACAAAATATCGCAAAGCAGCAAGACTACTTTTAGCAAGATGTTTGCATGCACAAGCAACAATATTGTTTGATAAATGGAAAATCCTTTATTTTTCTGCTTTATACCATAATTGGACATACTAAATCTTCATATGCACTTCTGATGGTTCTTCCAATTCCCCAGATGAGCAGAATTATTTCAAGTCTGATGTTTGTATTCATGCACAGAATTTCTAAATGTAAATACCTGTGCATGAGAACTAAAATATATACTATTCCTAAATGCAACTATATACATAGATATAAGGCTAGCATTTCTTCTATAATCAAGACATACCTGTGCAATGGCAGCAGCATAGTTAAAGCTGTGCTATGATTTCCAGAATTGTTTACATATGTGGGCTGGGTAATTTCACGATCATATTCTGTGTTTGTAGAAATAAACCAGATTTTTATTGAAAGAAGTATTTACATAGATGCTGCAAATAAGTTTCTTACACATAAAAACAGACTGCCTGCCTGGCATCTTCTCCAAAACTCTTTTGTGTTGCAACTCCTGCTCTTCCTTCCAAGTTCCATGCAGTTTACTAGATCTTTCACCAATTTTTTGTTGCGTCTTTTGTGCAAGTATTTTTGAGTTGCTGGGGGGGGCAGAAGTTGATAGTACTATATGTAACCAACCCTATAGGCATGCCCCCTTACTGTTTGCATCATAATTCTCTGAACTAATATACAGCTCTTCTTGTGTTAGCAGGGTACTTGCTTCCACCCTTCTGTTGCCTGTAGTCTGTTGGCGGAGACCTGTTGGGCCCCTGCATTGCTCACATACCTAATTTCTTCTGACTGTCCTTTGTCAAGGCAGCTGATGCTTGAAGCTCTTTCTGTCTTCCTGGTGCTTGCCCTGTTCTCTGGGTTTGCTGGATGCTTGCTGCTACTCTGCATTTGGTTCTGGTTTCATTTCTACCAATGTTATGAGTCCATAGCCATTTTAAATAACTTGTGTCCTGCTGCTGCCTGAACCAGCTGCTTTTTACCCTTGTGTTACACAAAACTATTTGATGTTTGGGTACCGACCTGATTTTCAACATTAAGTGGACTCTGTTTGGCTTCTTTAATGGTACAGGACTGCTCAACTTACTTGGAGTCCTCTAGGCTGTTCTCTATACCATCACTCGTTCCTCCACTAGGCTGTAGTAGACTTGCTTCTCTGACCCATTACTCTTTATGCTGGACTACAATCTAGACACAGGGAGAGTGTCTAGATGACCATGTACATGCATTGCCCTAGGAACAAATAGCAGCAGCACATATTAGTGCACATATTAGTCCCTGGGGAACACCCCTGCACATGTGCTCTAGCACAGGGCAAGTTGCCCTGGGTGGGGTAGGGGAGGCTGAGACCAGTACCTGGACTTACTCCTTACCTAGGGCCCTGGGGGCCTCCCAGAGCTGCAGCAGCATCGATCCAGGCACATGGGGGGGGAAGGGGGAGGGGAGGTTGGGCTCAATACCTGGGTTGATCCATTATTCTGTGTATTGGACTACAATCTAGACAAGTGCACGTGTGTGTTTCCCTGAGGACAAATAGCAGTGGCACATATTTGTGCTGCTGTTATTTCTCCCCAGGGAACGCACATTCCTGCCTGTGCAGATGCGCTCAGGGAGGCTGTACTGTGATAATGCCATAGTAGGTGGAAATGCCTTCCCATCTGTTTTGCGCTTGTTGTAGCTGTCTTTGCTACCAGCTCTGCTTTCCTATTGCTCTTAGGTAGCAGAAGAAAGACATCTTGAGCCAGATTCTATTCCACCTATTGGACACTTGAGCAGTTATGCACCTAAGTGTGATTCTTTTCCACCCTGATCAAGTCCCTGAAAACAGAGTTCATGCAAAAAGTGAAGGTCCTCCTCCTCCTCACTTTTTTTTGTGACTCAAGCTCTAGACAACGGTGTATTCTAAAAGTATATGCATTAATGGATGGAATAGAATTGCACTTAGTTGCCTAAGTCCACATAGATACCCAAGTAGAATAGAATATGGTCCCTTGTGGTCAAATTCATGTGGCACTGCCTCACTTAAACTCTGCTGCAATCCACTGAGATATGTTGTCCTGTTGCTTAAAGTGGGCAAGTCTGTTCTGATCTTTTGGCAGGGTCAGGATGAGACTTCATAATGCTGCAGAATCTCCTTCCATGGTCAATCACTGTACTCTTCACACACATCATCTTGTATTTTCTCAATGCCCAATGCTACCTGCCAAAAGCTGTGGCAATGTTGTCAGGAAGCTGATTGCTCACTTTGCACAGCATACCAGGACACTTTCTTGATATCAGAAGCAGCGCTGACTTTTGCCCTGGATAAATCAGGTAGCATACCCTCAGCCATTAGTAAATGGGTAGTTATTACCTTTCAATATTCTGTTCAGCATCTTCAGTCAGTGCAGATTTACTGGAGGTTTCCTTTCCGCTCCTATACTGCTGGTCCACTCTATGATAGTTTCAATTAATGTAACTATGCCTCTTCTTTACAGGTTTGCGCTTGCCAGTTCCTTGTTCAGTGGCTCTGTCAGGGCTATGGTACTTTCTATTTCAGGAGACCCATGCACTGTACACAGTCCGTTTCCAACTTCATTTTGCCCTCTGGACATAGAGATCCTCAAAATATAGCCCGATATTCTGTGAGCAGGCTGAGTTTGTTCTCTCTTTTCTCTCCCACCGAGATCTTTCTGTTGTTGTACTGAGATCAAATCCATGGTTTGCACTGCCCTGGCTAGTCCTCTACTGGGTGTGAGTTTGAATCCCACTTATAAACCGCAAGTGATACAGATGTGTTCTAAATTAATATACTTGATTGTGCGTTTATACAAATGAAACTGCAATATATGTTACATTTTAATTTTAGGGAAATGTGCTGTCAACATTGCATTTCTATCAACTGTACCCCATTTCAAATACAAAGCATGGAAATTTTCTGCCATCAGATAATGGTATTACATTATACAAAAAAAAAAAATAATATAACAGTGTACATAAGAAGCAAGATCACTTGGCATGTATGTGAATAAGTATAGGGAAATTCTTCCTTCCAACAAGTTATGTACACTACTGGGTAGTAATGCATCTGAGACTGGAAAATAAACCCCAAAATTATTTAACCTTCTAACCGTGTGTATAATAGAAGAATTTAAGCCATCTTCTAATAGAGAATCAGGCTTGGCAATGAAGGGTCTAGAAAGAGGAAGATAATTATGTCCCACTGACTTTAAGTGGAGTTAAGGGACCAAATTACCACTCGATTTCCTGCCTTCTAATTCTTTTCATCATTCTTGCACTGTTCTCCCCCTATTTGCTCCCATGTCCTCTTTCCACTTCCTTTATTCTCTCCTTACCTCTCTCTCACCTTTTCCACCAGACAGTTCTCTATTATTGTCTCTTCTCTCCACAATTTCACTTCCTTTTCTCCTTTTTTTTTCCTTTCTACTCCATTCATTTACAACATCATCCACCCAACACAACTTCTAAGTGTCAGTATTTCTTTCTAGTCCCTTCTCCATCCCCGCTAGGCCTGGGCCCAAGCTCTCTTACCCAGCTCATAGGAACAATGGGTTAAAATTGAAGGAGCTCTGTCATCTAAAAACCAGAGGATGTTTCCTGAGAACGGTAGCTTTTAGACTATAGCACAATTTCCTGAAGGAAATGGACAGTTCACTTGGGGATTTTACAGTTTTACCTGGACAAGACACTAGAAAACAAACTGCACAGAGCAGTCCCCTGTGTTCACTTGCTATTGCTCTTCTCTCTAGTACTGTAGTAAAATAATCATTTTTTCCTTAGTCCTTGACATTCTATTCACCTCTTCCCCGTGCCTCTTCCTTCCCACTAGATTAGTCTTTCTTCCCCCCTTTGCTGTTCCTTTTGCACAGGCCTCATCTCCCACTAATCACAGAATCACACAGAAGTCGGGGTACAGAAACTTCCAGAATTAATTTATTCCAACTCCTTGCCTGAGGCAGGATCATCGCTATCCAAACAATCCTATACAAATCCATTGCCTGATCTTCCGAGGTCCCTTCCAGCCCTACAATCTGTGAATCTGTTAGCAAGACTATAAAGCCAGCCCTGAGAAAACCACAACACTGCAGTCCACTACAGGTAAAGCAAGGGGACCAGTGCAGCCAATGCCTGCTGCTGCAAAGTTGTTTAAACATTGAGCGATCCAAGGAAGAGGGCCACGGCTCCCCCTCCTCCACTGCAGAGGAAGACAAAAACCCTCACAGTCCATAGCACTTTATTTAACATGGACGAGATTGTTATCTCCATGTGAAGTCACTCCACTTCCCTGCATTTAATCGGAAACTACAGACCCCTTTTACCATTTCAAAGTAGGATCTAGGTCTTCATGACTGTCTGTATAGCCCCTTGCACAATGGGCTCCAAATCCTGCTGGGGGGAAAGGGTGGGGGTCTTTCAAGCACTCCTGCAGTAGCAGTTTGCAGAACAATGATGGTGCCGATTCCACTCTGCAGAAGAGGAGGAGAGGCTTTCAACCCTCAGGAGAGTCCTTTGGTGTATCAAGATAAAGGCAGCAGTTTCTTTAGGCTCATTGAAACCCCTGGAGCTTTGTTAAGTGTGGTGCATAAATTATTACTCTGACCTGATCATAGTCCTACAGTTTGATGAGCTGGCAGTTCCTATTCTTCGCAGTTTATTGCCTGTGTAACATCTAAGCAGGGGGGAATTGACAGTCAATCAACACTGGGGCCAGAGGAGGATGACAAATCCTGCTCAGATAACTGTCTCTCAAGTTGAGAGAGAATGTCATAAGGAGCACAAGACCAGAGGATGCACAGCAGGATCCATCCTCAGGTGTTCACATTGCTTCTTCAGGTCCCAGCATACCCATTCATAGAGGCTTGCCCAGCTGCCCCCAACAGCACAAAAGAGCCAAGTGATATTTTCTTCTTTTTGTCTCCTTTGCATGTAAAGCGATTCTGCTTAACTTTGTTTTGCAGGATTTGGGCCCAGTCTGGTTAGCAGGAGCAGTGTCAAGAACTGCATGTGTTGCCAGCCTTCAGGGTAGGGCAGAAACACCAGATAGCAGAGAAGGACAGTGGTGACTAGTCTCTAAGGAAAGTTTAACAGAAACAGGATGAAGCTTAAGTACAGAAGAGAGCTCATTCTGCAGCCCTTGGAAAGTGCTGAGCTCCTTCCCACTGGTTGCTCTGGAAATGGATGTCCCTCAGCAGGTTGAAGGGCTGGCTATAGGGTGGGAGATGGGAATGTGCAGCATTTTCCTAGAGTTGCAAACTGGCCAACGGGATCATGCCTGAATGAATGAAGCATGTGCTGTTCCTCAAAACCTTTCCTTCCAAAGGCTGAAATAAAACTAAGGGGCCCTTGTCCTTAGCCTTTTGTTTCCCTGGACATAGTTTCTGGACAAATTCTTGATGCTCACCAAAAATTTACCATGGCAAACCTGTGCTGGCAGGTAGACAGACTGCACGGTGATCTACTAAGCTTTTCCTATCTTTAGCTTCCATGATTAAATGAGTATTTTGTCCTCCTAGTCCTTGCTTTGCCCTCATTTTTGCTAATCTGCCCCTGAGTCATAGGCATTCTCCAAGCAGGAAAGTACTGTAAGATTAGATCTGGAAGCATATAGTCTGTTATCTGCACTGCACTTCCCCCATCTGTCACTTCCCATCCAGACAACTGAACTAGTTCTTTTCTGAAGAGCACTCCCCCCACTTTCTATGTCTATTCAGTACTTTAGTTGCTAACTGACTAATTACAGCACAAATGAATTTGTGTTAATGAAGAACAGTGACATTGTTTTGTGGTAACGTGGGGCACGTCACTAGCTCAGCACTTACTTCTTTCGTCCATTTTGTAGGGCAGTTTTAAATCCTACCTGTGTGGCTAGAAACAGCTTCCTTCTTTAACACTACTTACTTCTTTCATTTGACAGCACAAGGGTGAAGTTACTTAAACTGAGATTTCCCTCAGACAAGTGAAAGGAAAGTTTCAAGAAATAACACTCCTATAAGCACTTCAATATAATCATCCAATCCTATATTGCTTTCTTTTCTTCAATTCTGAATATCTAACAAAGCAAAACGGATGCACAGTGCCACCAAAAGCAATCCAGCATTGAGAGACTTGCAAATAATTTGGCATAGCATTCAAGGATGTTTATTCCACACAGGCTGCACTATTTGATACATGCTGTACTTGAACAGAAAGCAATAGAAACCAACCCCATACATCTATAAAAAAAAGCAAGGGCTTTATATGTCTCACTGCAAAATCAACATACATAAAAATACAGTCAGATGTTGTCTAGTGAGGCTTATGGCTCTCCTTCTTTACATCTACATCACTGCAGAATGCCACTTCTCTATTTTACACACACTGATTATGAGATTATTTACTAGTCTGATGATATTCCAGATCAAGAATTAACTTTCTTGCCACCCACCTAATCCTGCAAACCTTATTTATGTGGCTACACAAGTGCCTTGCCCAGGATCCAAAATATCCTTGTAGTAGGAGCATTACTATACTATTTTATCCATAGGCACAGGGAAAGTTTTGCTCAGTGTGAGACAGTGAGTCAGTGAAGAAGCTGAGACAGAAGCCATCTCTGCTGACTTGAAGTTTAGTCACCCATCAATTGCAGCATGACACACAACAGACTTTTAGAGATGCTTCTGGAATATTGTATAATAAAAAGTACCCAAAAGTTCACCCGCGCTGACATAGAAATTCTCCAGGATTCCCAGCACTAAGGTACCAAGTTTTATAAAATTACACCAAGTTTTATAAGGTACCAAGTTTTATAAAATTACATGAGATGTCAAATTTCATGACACCGCTGCCTGAGGAAAAATAAAGCATTTGCTTTATATGCAGCCTATGAGAGTGATAAGAGATGAAGAACGAATAGCCAAAGCCTTACATTGTAAAAACTGTACAAGGAAACAAGCTCAGAAGATATCATGGTAGTGACTGCACAGAGAAGAGCACAACTGTAACATTGCATATCTGAAACAGGCCAACAGCTGTATTTCTCATGCCAAATCCTACTAACTCTACAGACAAATCAAACCACACTTACATGCACTGGATGCATCACAGTTTTGCTGAAAGATGGTACTTACCACCTCCTTCATCAACCTCAAGAGGCTCCTTGTTTCTATCCACTGCTTCCACAGTGCTGCTTTCCAAATGCACTAGAACATCCTGCTCCCCATCTTCCCTCATGTTATTTCCAGCCTCCTCCCCATCTTCCCTTGTGTTATTTTCTATTGACCCATGTTTGAGTTCCCCATTGATTTCATCTGTGTCTTGGGGCAATGTTTCCATGATACTTTCAGGAAGAGTCTTACTTTCTTCTCTAAATGATGCATCCTCCGCTTCCATCTTTCTGGTTTCATCCATTTCCATTTCATCTGCCTCCATTTCCAGGTTTTCCTCCATTTGTGGTGGTTTGCTGTCCTTGTTTTCATTTTCACATTGTGCATATGTTTGATCATCAGAAGTCTTTTCAATATCTTCCTTTTCATTGCCTGTAATATTGTCTTTTGTCTTTTCAGCTTCAGACTCATCTTCACTGCTATATAGGGTACTGCTGGATGAGAAAGGAGATGCAGACTTCCTATCTACAAACAGCAAACAATTTCATTTTATTAATTTTTCATAAAACATTTGTAGTCATTGCTCAGTAGCACCAAGGGCTTGGTCTTCATCTGGTGTAAACCAGCAGTGTTCTGATTTATACTACATGAGCGTCTGCCCAAAAAGTTCCAGCAATTGTACCTAGAGGTATTTAACCTGAAACTATCAAAAGGCATCCATTTAATCAAAAGCTAGGTAACGCATTTTCTGATCATGTAATGAGACCATTCCATAAATGAGTCTAAGAGCAGGTAGGTCCTACATTACAACAAAAGTTTCACAATAGGAATCTGCTAAAGTGCTCTTAACATTTCAATGAATCTACTAGAACGCCTCTGTAGATCAGAGAACAATACCACAGCACAGGGGTAAGCAACATTTTTGGATAGAGTGACAAAAACACCCGCAACCTTGACTTGTAAGCTGTTGGTGTCCCGGGGAAGATGGCAGGGATGCTGCAAGGGGCCTGTGTGCTGCAAGCAGCCCAGGCTTTTTGGCGTGCAGCAAGGGCCTTCCCAGAGCTGGCCAGCTGTGGCAGGAAGTCAGAAGGCTGCAAGCAGATACACCTGAGTCCACAGAGCCCCAGCCCATCTCATTAGGCTGTGGAGACATGAACACCTCGAGGTGGATGGTGGGGAAGGAGCTAGGGCTGCACTGCCACAAAAAGGATTGGGCCCCTCACGGTTCCCCCACCTTCTGCCCCAAGGCATGCGTGCCAAGCAAAATGCCCATGATCTGGCACGTGTTGGGGGTTTCCAACTTCTCCCATAGTACATTAATCCTTGCTATTTGCAATGGAGTCCTGTTATTCTGACATCCTTTCTATGTCTGAAAAAATGGTCACTGTAATTCTGCTAATTTTCTAAATACCCGTCTGAGAAATGTTGAAAATTCCTGTAGGATTTTTAAAGTAAAACCAAAATATACAAATTGCACATATAACACCAATTAACTTCGGTAGAACTTGGGATGTGGCATTTCAGTATAGAATCTGACCTGAAATTAATATAACGCTTGGCAAAAGGGACAGATTTTCAGTCCAGTTAACAAGTCTTCCATTCATCCACAGAATTGGTATAAGGGATGCAGGATACTGAAAGCCTTCCCACAAAACGTCCCCAAAGGGCCTCAGCTGTGCTCTAGAAAGGCCATTATTGCCATCAAGAAGGTAGCTGGTCAGATCAGTACCCCAGCCTTCTCCTGTCCACTGAGATGGACAATTAGTACCACTGTGATGTGGTCATCTGTCTATTAGGATTTGATCAGAAAAAATTTCAACAGATATTCTGCTGAGCAGCTAACACAGGGTTAGGCTTGCAATCACTTTCAGGCTGTACTCTATTTGAAGCTGCAGTCTAGAGATCAGGAGTTAGAATGACTTCAGCCACTAGACTCCCTGAGCATATTGCAATTTCTAAAAAAACAAGAACATACATAGGCCAGCTGGAGTAAAGGGAGACTCATATAATCAGATAAATGGTTCAGATTTCTAGAACTGGTCAATGATTCTTTACAATTTATTCATAGACTTACAGTCCACAAGGATTTGAATGTTCTTTTTATGCCTGACCTGTAACATTACATACAAAAATAAGGCGTTAGGTTTCTCAACTGTTAAAAAAAATTGTACGAAAGTTGAAATTCAACCCTCTGTTAAACCTGCACAATTTATTATATTCAGGTTCCATGGTGATGAGTGCAATATAAATGCTGAGATGAGATGAAATAAAGTAAGTTGAGATTTCCTCCCTACTGTGTTTTATATAAATGGTAAATTCCTGGTCCTGTTACTATTATTACCATATAGCACTTGGATTACAGGAGCATCTCTGAACCTCAACAGGAGTGGGATTTCACTGTGCTGGTTACTGTACAAATGCACAGTCCTTGCTCCTAATAGCTTGCAGTCTAAGTACACGCTTAACTTTAAGCAAGTGAATAGTCCCACTGAATTCAAAGTTCAGTCTCTGCCCAGTGTTTGCTCATGGCCCAGATAACTTCAAGACAAAGTACAGAGCCCAGTTTGGTTAGGGCAGAGGAGAGGGGAAGTAACGGTAACAGTCATACAAACACATCGATATGTAAGTTACTATGTGGGTCATTTACGCTCCCAGGATTTTGTTATGTCAGCAAGAGTTTTGCTACTAGCACTATATTGGAAACGAGATATTTATTGTAAATGACCAAAGAAAAACAGTGAACTAGCAGAGACAGTCTGTTCAATGTAAGAAGCATACAGAACATGAACATACTTTAGTCATGCAAAATTTGCAAAAATAGGGAAAAATCACTTTTGATAAAGCAACAGCACAGAAAGGAGAAACTAACAAGGCTACATTTTATAAGCTTCTTTTCTCTGCATATGTATCCTTAAAAAAGCTTAAATATAAAATATTCAAAGTAGGGTGGCCTAAAATTAGGCACCTATTTCCATAGTTAGAGACTTAAATCAGCCCCCTGCTTCCAGATGTTTTGCATGCCCAAGAAAATTAGCAGCTGCAGCTGTTCAGAAACTTTGAAAATTAAGTCATTTAGGCACCTAAATATCAAAATTCAAATGCCTAAATTTAATCAACACATTTAAGAATGCTGGAATTAGTTTAAAAACTAAAAAACCTTGTTATATTACACATTTACCTAAAAACCCAAAGAAAGTAATAACTTACCAGTATATCCTAGATTGTTGCCTACAAAAGATTAATGCTTTTTGTGGTTACAACCAAATAGATGTGCTGATCGAATCCAGGCACCATTTTCAAACAAATTCAATATTTTATTAGTGCATCTCTTACTACAGATGCTAGAGGATGAGAGTAAAAATGCAGGGACTTGGCAACTCATCCCTGGCAGCTGCATGCCCTGCCTGTTTAGCAGTGAATATGATTTTTAAACCAGTTGGATAAAAGGGAAGGCTGTGTTGTTAAAAGATACTGTCACTGAAGAATTGCCAGTACTGTATTACTAAAGAGCTGACTTTCCTCCTTTTTCACCTCTGGAATACAGAACCCACTCTTGGAGACTAAGTTATATTGAGGGCCAACATTTTATTTATGACCATGCTGGTCATTAATAATGCATTTAGCACCACATTTGGAAACACACAAAATGTTTCCAAGTAGAGCAGTTAGTAGAGGGAACTCAGCGAACAACTCTTCATATTCTTTTGAAAGTTCACCTTGTTCACCACCCCTACCACTAACTGATGGATTCTTCAAGGCATACTAGAGCAGCAGTTTTCTTTTGAAGCACCTTACATTGTATCAATCACCATCTTCAGGACTCAAGCAATCCTAGCAGTTGTATCTACCCACAGGGTCAGACCCAGGGGGAAGAGGCCATGATGGTTGCACCCTCCTTCCACTCCTTCCTCCTGCCACAGTTGCTGTCCCCAGATAACCAGGAGCAGGGGAAAGCCCAGATCCACTCTTGGCTTACTCCAGGTGGGGCCTGTGGGAGTGGCTGCGCAGTGCCAGGCTTGGCAAGAGACAATGGTGGCAACAGGCAATTTTCCTGCTACCGAACCTGTTCACTGACATTCCCCAGTGTCCTCCACTGGGTAAGACCAGGTGCTGGAAGGAGGAACCCAGGCCCCTCCATCATCACTGTCTTTGGTTGACACAGGTGTGGGAAGAGACCCAGAGCTGCTCCTGCCCTGTTCCAGGTGCAGAGCGTGGTTGCATGGGGTTCTGGGCTCAGCTGGGGACAGCAGCAACAACACACAGGTTCCTCCTTCCAGCATCTGCTCCTGGCTAGCATGGACACCTGACATGGTATTAGGCAGGGAAAAGGCAGTGGCAGAAGAAACCTGTACTCTGCCTCTGCTGTCCCCAGCAAACCACACAACCATCCCCACAGCTCCTGGCTGGCGTAGGCCAGGAACAGTGGATTTGGTAGGGACAGTAGCAGTGATGGGTAGGTTACCACCTTCATGCACTTCCTCCTTGACTCCCCATGTTCCCCACCAGCCCAGGGGTTCCAGTCATGGTCTGACAGGTAGTGTGCTACATCCCCCTTTAGTAAATCCTGGATCTGCCCAAGTCTTTCCACAACATATACAAGGACAAAAGGAAGAACCTCCATGCAAGCAACCTCAACTTCCTCACAACTTGTCAGCAGTATGCCAGTATTAGTTAAAACTTAAAAACATACAGCCTAAGACTAAAGAATAACACTAATCTAGTTTGGGCCCAGCTCCTGGATCTAGAAAGTTCAGTCTGGTGCAGAAGATAAGGAAGGGAACAAGGAGGGGTGCATGCTAGCTAAGAATGGCTAGAATTCAGCAGTGTTTGTGGCCATGCCACCTACACTAGATGGGACCAGAAACAAGATGTCACTGAACCAGCTCTATATGAGCCAAAGCACACAACTAGTTAGGGGAGCTTAACTATCTCTTTTTAACACTATGATGCCATGAAGGGACAAGATACAGCTTATGGCAAAAGGTGTCCACATGTCTGAGACATGCAGAGGCACAAAAAATTATTTGGGCACAATACTTCTTGAACCAGGATGGTGAGTTCTCTTTATAGCACATTGAGGATTGACCTCAGGACACTGTATTAATTTCTAGGTTTCTCTGTTACTGATAACAGGAAAGAACAAGAAAAATGGATAGAGACATTAGAAGGATTTAATTACAAGGAAAGACTGAAAGAACCAAACACATACAACTTGGGCTCAAGAGATATGCTACCCACCTACACAAATTTGGAAGCACAAACATCAGGAAGGAAGAATTGTTTCTCAAAAAGGTATAACTAATAATAATGGTGTTAAATTAAAAAAAAAAAATCTTTTTTGCAATGAATACCCTTAAAAATACCCCACTGTTGAGATCTATTAGATATTAGAATAGTCTCCCAAAAGATTGATTTAAGTTTTATGTCTTTAGCAATTTAAAACCAGGTTAGATAAATGACTAGTAAATATCATCATCCCCTGAAAATTTTCCACAAAAAATTAAACATTTTTCAGGCTGACAAGCACTTTGCAATCAAAACAAATATCCCCCCCCCCCCCCAAAAAAAATTTAAAAAAAA